GTGGGAAGGCCTGTGGCTGGGCTCTATACCCGTGGCGGTGAAGGTTATCAAGTCAGGTGAGGCCCTGTAGCATTGCCCTCTGACCCTGGAGCCTGGGGCAGTGGTGGCCATGCACAGTCCTGGAGCAACATCTTTTTTCACAGCTGACATGAAGCTGGCAGACCTTACCAAGGAGATTGAGGCACTGAAGAGCTTGAGGCATGAGCGGTTGATCCGGCTGCATGCTATATGCTCCCTGGGTGAACCCGTGTACATCGTCACTGAACTCATGGGCAAGGGCAACTTGCAGGTCTACCTGGGCAGTGAGTAACCTCTACTCGGGCAGTGAATACTCCCCCTACCCCAACCCTGTAGCAGCTGCATCTGCCAACCCTTATGATAGCATTCATTCCCTGGCTCCACAAAGAAGAATCATTAGGCCTTTGTAAGAGACACATGTGGCCCAGGTTGCAGACACCTGGTCCTAATGAGGCCAAGGGTCTGGCCCAGGCCTAGATTTGGCTAAAGGCTATGTAGTCAAATCCTGGCAGTTCTGAGGCTAAGGCTGCCATATAGGCAGTAGAGACTTTGTGTCACTGACCTCTGAAGTGTTGCCTTGGACCCAGTCCTGGTTGGATAGTATCTCCCTTGTGGGTACAGACAGGAACTAAGAAGCAGGTTGTGCTTGAGGCCTTGTGGTGACTTCCCTTCCATGTTATTTATTGTCTACTGGGCCTTAGTAGGTGCTGCCCTCCCTCTCTCAAAGACCGGTGGGTGGGGGGGACCAAGGCACAGAGGAAGCTTGTATACTCATATGCGCTTGCCTTACCAACCATTATCCTGTGCCCTTGTGAGGACTGCCACCCAGCCCTGACCCCTGAGCCCCTCTCTCTGCAGGCCCTGAGGGAAAGACTCTGAGCCTGCCTCATCTACTGGGATTTGCCTGCCAGGTAGCTGAGGGCATGAGCTACCTGGAGGAGCGGCGTGTTGTCCACCGGGACTTGGCTGCCAGGAATGTGCTGGTGGGTGATGACCTCACCTGCAAGGTAGCTGATTTTGGCCTGGCCAGGCTGCTCAAGGTCAGTAGGGCTCTGGGCTCCTAACTCCCCCACCCCCCGTAGAGGGGAAAACACTATTCTGAATTCCCAACCACTACACCTCATCCCCAGGACGATGTCTACTCCCCGAGCAGTGGCTCCAAGATCCCTGTCAAGTGGACGGCACCTGAGGCTGCTAATTACCGTGTCTTTTCCCAAAAGTCAGATGTCTGGTCCTTTGGCATCCTGCTGTATGAGGTCTTCACTTATGGCCAGTGTCCCTATGAAGGTAAGCCATCTGAGAAGAGATCATGACTCATCAGGGAAAGTTTAGTCTGACGGAGGTAGCCTGGGATCCAGTCTGAGGGAGGAGTTGTACCGTGCCCTGGGAGTCACTGATCCTCAGAGGTACCAGCATAGGGGCTGGAGTACTAGCACAGACTGGTCATGCAGAGGCTGTGGGTGGGGTAGTCTCTTTGGTGGCACCTAGGCAGAATCAAGGCAGTTGCTGTCTGGTCTTCTTGCTGGCCCCTTATCAGGAATGACCAACCATGAGACACTACAGCAAATTAGTCGAGGATACCGGCTGCCACGCCCAGCTGTCTGCCCAGCAGAGGTCTACGTGCTCATGGTAGAGTGTTGGAAGAGCAGCCCCGAGGAGCGTCCCACCTTTGCCACACTGAGGGAGAAGCTGAATGCCATAAACAGACGCCTCCATCTGGGCTTCACGTGACCAGGTCTCCAGACCCTCAGGTAGCAGCTAGGGCTGCTGCTTCCTGAAGGGTGTCTTTCAAGGAAACATTTGTCACCAATGCCCATGGGAGATGCTGCACAACTGGGAATCACAGCAACCTCAGGGCTCCAACACTGGGGCTCCTTCACTGGCACAAGCTGCTACTTACATGTGCACACCAGATGGACGAGTGTAGACTGGACCTGGTCTTCCTCCTGGCACAGTCTCCAAAATGTTGATAAAATATAGGAGAGGAGACACAAGGACGTACTGGACAGATGAGTACCAGCAGAACTAGTAGTTTCCTCCTTGCTCTGACCTTGGCTCCCTCCTGGAATCAAGGATGAAAAAGCCCACTTTTTCCAGGTCTTACTGTAGATTGGGTTAAATAGCCAACACTAGGACTGGCTGTGTGGCAGTTATGTGATATGTACTCTTAGGGGACAGCAGCATCACCTGCCCTTACCCAGTGCCCCACAGGTACTAGTAAACCTTAGGAACACAAAATCAGCTTCAATAAACATGTTCTGGTGGTTTCACATTCCGGTTCCCAGAATGGAATGCTGGAGGCTCTCGAACATGGGAGGGAGAGTTGAACAACACCTCAGAGCCAGGACTGCATTGCAGTGTGGACCCTGGGACATTAACAGTGGAGGATTGCTAGAGCTAAGTGAGCAGCCCTTTCTGGCTCCCTGGCCCGGGATTGAAGCCAGAAGACTCTTCAGTTTCAGGAAGGGCAGACTGGCTGTTTGGTGGTCAGCACACCCAAGGCCATTTCTAGATGCAGAGAAATGGTGTTTTGAGAGTGTCTCTTTGAATGATGAGAGGTGGTTAGGAGGCAGAATTCTCTGGTTGGCGGGATTAGGCAGATATAGGTAGGATGTTGACAACCAAATAAACTACTCTCTGGGACAAAGCCCCCATGGACCACTTTTTGAGGGTAACACCTTGAGAACTTAGGCCCTGGATCATTCAACACTTTAGGGCACTTAAGGACAGCATACTTATGGGGCAGGGGGGTGGGGGCTTTGCTCAGGGACCTAAATCCATTTCACTCTCCTACCAGTTGTACCCAGAAGGCTGTGGGGCAGAGAGACTGGCAGTCCCTAGAGGGGATGGAATTTGGGGCCAGCTCTGCACTCACCAAGGCCAATTTACTCATGATCACTGATCACATTTGTACATTGGCTAAGAGGGAGCTGGGAACTGAACCTTATATATAAAGTGACCCCTTAGCTAGAGCAAAGACTTTGGGGATTAGCCAGTCATGGACTTTCTCACAGGGAGGCGGGTTTGGAACAGGATGGTCCTTGGAGCTATGGAGGCCAGACTGACAGAGTGCATTGACATTGGTCTTTATAGGTAGGAGAGGCAGTGGGATCGGGCTGAGGCATGGCCCTTGCCTCTGCCTTAGCCTGCAGATCTGATTCAGGGAAGTTGAGGGGGAAGAATCTGCAACTGGCAGTTAGCTGCTTACGGCACACAGAAAAAGCTTTGCCAGCACACAGAACAGAAGTATGGTCCCAACAACTGTCATGGCATAAGATGATAGTATTCTGATGTTAAGGGGCTACCATGAGTCATGAGGGCTCTAGGGATAGGATGTCATAGCCTGGAGAGAAGGATGGTGCTGGGATTGTAGTCAAGCCATGGAAGCTGGTTTGACCAGATCCTGGCACATTCCTGGGTATCTAATCAGCCAAAGACAAGCAGGTTTGGCCCTCCTGGGAGAGGCCAGGGACTTTTGGGCTACCTGATGTATCATCAGTAGAGCTGCCCACGGTCTCATTTAGGGATATGTGGCTGTTCAGGACATAGCTTGAGCTCAGAGGCTCAAGACTTGAGGACCCTGGAGCAAATCGGGGAAGCAACTATGGAGTCCTTGAGGCTGACCTCTGCCATTAGCAATCCTTATTCCTTTTCTCTTCCTGTATCGATCAACCCTTCCTGGCAAGTGAGCTAGGCTGGGTAGGTGTGAAGCTATGAATGAAGTAATGCATGTTGCTGTTCTTCATCCCAGTAGGAAGCAGGTGAGTAGTGCTTTGTCTCTTCCGTGAAAGAAAACCAGAGGCTTGGCACAGTTCTCAGTGGAAGGACATTTGTTTAGCATGTGTTTAGCATGAAGTAGCACCACCACCACCATGGCACCTACCGGGAAAAAAAAATAAAAAATTCAAACAAATAGTTAGTTTAATATAGTGTCATTTCCCAGGTCACTCACCGTTACAGACTTTTCAACTTCCTCTTCCACCCCTCTTTGTGTCTGTCCTCCAGGGTGTGTAGGAGCACCCCATTGTGGGCACAACAGGATCGGCCAGAGTGAGAAGGGTGGTCAGGGCCACTCTGGAGTCAGGGAATCTTTGGAGTTCTCAAGGTTCAATGAGAGGAGGAGGGACAGACTGAAGCAGTTAGTGGGCTACTGGGAATTGGGGTAGCATGGGAGGTGAACTAAAAGAGACCCTGGGGGCCACAGAGAGGAGGGAAACCTGGGGAAGAAGGTGGGGGGGCTGCAGAGGGTGTGAGGGCCTTTCCTAGTCATTACTCACCTCTTGTGGATGCCCCTTTTGTGTCCTTATCTAGAAGACAAGACAGTGCTTGCTTCTTGATCTGAGGTCTATGGACTACACGTCTTGAAGATATCAGGAAGCACTCTAGCCCAGCCCGTAGCCCACAACCTACAGGGATGTTCATGCCTTTATATCCCTTGGCTCCCCTTGGCTCTCTGGCTGTCATGTTGTGGTCTAGCATGCTGTCCTGGGTGGCTTCTCCAGGATAGATGGTGTATCTGAGGGTCCTCAATTCCAGGAACATAAGTTGTGGCAGAAGTTCAGGCTGGGTATGTCCTTTAAGTTCACGGGTCTCACGCACCCTCAACCCCCCCAAACCCCACCAGTTTCTTCTTTGTCTCCAACTCAGGCCCTGCCTGATTTCCTTCCCTGCTCAGGGAGGTGGCTGTCATGACTGTCAACTCTTTCACAACCCTCAGTATTTGTTAGCGTGTGTTCAGGTAGGAGGCTTTCTCCTTTGGCAGGAGGGACCAGCCTGTGTAAGGGAGTTTGTTTTTGTTGGTTTTTGTTGTTTTAATGCAGAAAAGGCATTGCTTTGCTCTCTTTTCTAGCAACCTGCCCACCATCCTTGAAATCTCCCTTCCCTGCTCCCTTCTCTATCCTTTAACTCCAAAACACACATCAAGGGGATAAGGCTTCAGCTGACACCCACGTGCTCACTGTCTAATGGGGTATCCCCTGTAACTGTGGCTAGGTCTTGTCTAGGGGTTGTTTCGCTGGCAGGCTTTCACTGTGTGAGCACACAGCATGGTTTTATCCTGTAGACAAAAGAACGTACAGGAGCTAGAAGGGCCTTCAAGGTGGAGCTAGGAGAGTCCAATCAGTGCTAGGTATGGCCGTTCTTCTGCCTCTCCTACCCATCATAAGGAAGTAGGTGTGACTGACTTTCTGGGAAAAGTCCCTCCTACCCTTCCCAGCACTAAGTGTCCACAAGCAGGCCACAGCTGGCTCTGCCACTAAGTCTGTCATGGTGTCTTGGGACAAGGCTCACCTGGGTCCTAAGTATGTGGGCCTCTGGGACTTCAAGGCACGAACAGATGAGGAGCTGAGCTTTCAGGAAGGAGACTTCCTCCATGTTACCAGGAAGGAGGAACAGTGGTGGTGGGCCACACTGCTGGATACAGAAGGCAAGGCCTTGGCTGAAGGCTACGTGCCCCACAACTACCTGGCTGAGAAGGAAACTGTAGAGTCTGAACCGTGAGTGGTCCTAGGGAGTTGGCACAGCAGGAGGGGTTGGGGTGGGTGGTCACTGGACTGGACCAGGGAGGCCAGAGGGTGTAAGATCCTAGTTTGACATTCAGTTGGTCATACTCTGATCTTTAACATCCTGGTACACAAGGCTGCTGATGGGACTATGCTCCTGAGTGATACTCAGGGACAGGGCCTCTACTTTGGACCCATAAATGACCACCTCCCAGCATAAGTACTGCTCTGCTAGGACCCAGATGGGTCCAGAAGGGCCCAGTGTGGATTTTTAGGATCCTGGCTGTGAGGGACGTGATCTGTGTGGGAATTCAAGAGCTGTTGGGGGTGTGAAGTCTGCTCACTTTCCAAACAGCCAAAACCAGATGTGCAACCTAGTTAACCAGGGAGATAGAAGGCTGCTGAGGCACACCTATCTATATCACCTGGCAAGGGGTATATAGTATAAACACAGTGCACCCTAGTCCACTGTTCTTGGCCTCCCACACACCTGAGCCTTTGGAGACTTTAAGGAACTACAGTAGTGATTGGTGTGGGCATGTTCACAGCCACCCAAGGACTCAAACTATGTAGGTTGCTCTGGGCTAAGACTAGGGAGGGTCTAGCAGCAGGGGTTTCTTACTGTTTTTCTCCTGAGACTCCCAACTCCTCATCTCACAATGAGCACCTATTGTGGTCAGTAGAAGATTGTGAGCGCACAAACAAGAAATGAGTATTAAATGGTACCTAGGAGAGTTCCAGAGACAGGGTCTTGTGACGGGAGCGAGGTAGGCATGGGTGGTATGCATAAATGAATGAGGAGAGCCAGGTGAAGGCAGGTGAATCACGAAATTCCAGGGGAGCCTGGGGGTGGGGGAGAGTCAGAGAGAGAGAGAGAGAGAGAGAGAGAGAGAGAGAGAGAGAGAGAGA